AGCTTACCTTAGTACAAAGAACTCACCCAGATGTATCATGGTTGATCTACCACTGAGTATTTTTGTGCCCCCGTTTCGAATTTCGCCCGCTGCTCGCTTTTGTTACCTAACCAGTCCTGCATTCAAATGGAATCCTAGAAATCGCATTTGTCAGTGTGCACTTTGCCGTCGAAACCTTATGACGAAGGCACACAACCCAAGGTCATGACCATACTGCCTGCCCCACCTTCAAGAATATCGGAAGGTTCAAACAATAACCGAATAGTTCTTAATTTCGAACTGAGCCTGCTTCAACACACCACTTGTATGCCGTAAATAACGGTGTCTACTTAACAGCTTAGTGTTGTACATAATAGCGATTTCTCACTACCAAAATGATCAAACCTGTAAACCGATTTGTGTTCGTGTAACCTTCGTTGCATGAAATTTATTTTATCATTAATTTTATTACCCTTGTTATCATTATCATGAATATGATTGTGTAGTCTATCGTGTTCAAAGGAGGAGATATTGTGGAATTTTGCATTTAGAGCTCTTTATGTACGAGGATCCAGACTAAACGATTTGTCGTTTGGACGTCCGTATGTCGCCTCGCTGATCACACGGCATACATTAATTCGAATTCCTCAACAACGTTCAGGAACCAGGTTTCTATGAAATCATTTCTCCCACTTTACATGGGGTCCACGAAACCAAGCTTATGGAGGCTGAGATTTTCTACAATCAGAATGCATGTGTACCTTATTCTGACAGAGTAACCACTTTTGTTTAGTCTTCCCCCTGATAGTGCATAGATGGCTCCCAAAAATTATTTTTACCAAGTATTTGGTATTATTGGAAGGCCTACTTTAGCGCTAGATAGAATCCTCAAAGGAATCAAGTTTGTTCTTATGGATTCTGTATGAATTATAAGATCCAAAGTCAACTACTAACAGATCCCCATTCCTCTGGCGGCAGTCAGGACTCAACCCTAGATCTTACGGGAAATCCATATCTTAGTACGCTAGTAAAATGGACGATAGTCAATTCAGCCCTTGTAACATATCAAGTCCAGCATGCAGACATTGTGCATTTGTGTAAACGTAATTTATCCTCCTTATTTTGAATTCACTTTATGAGGCCTCAGCTTTTTTTCAATTAGCTGGTTTAATTCATGTGAACGACATTGAGAACCTGTGTTTGACAGTGAGGCATCCCCGGCTCGTTTCCCGTCTTTCATATTCATTCAATCTAAAAATAGGAAAAAAAGCGCCGGCTTTCTCTATGGCCATTGCAGTCCTTCGTTGCGTTAACTGCCGTGGTGCATAAAATCCCGAGGCGGTAAGGATGTCATCAAGCCTAAAATACCTACAACCCCGGCGCCGTTATTACGAAGGGCATAAACGCCATCTCGACCAGTTTTGGTCCTGTCTTGACGCTGTGGTCTTTTCAGTGTCTCCATTGGACCTCTGGAGTCGCATATGTCCTCAAGATTTATTATCTGCCACAAGGATTTCTGCTCCGAGGAATCGTAGCCAATGTCTCTTGGGCCTCAGTTTTTCGTTATTCCTTGCGTTATCAGTTTCTTACCTAAAAAGTAAGCCTTACGAGTTTCCCTGGAAAACGTTTTTGACGTCATCCATTAAGGGTGTGTGATATCCGGCGTTGTCCCCTGGTATTTTTCAGTTTTCAGAACGTGAAAGACTAACAATGCACCCTCAGTGTCAGCAAGGCTGTCGAATGTCAACCTATAAGATAGACGAACTCCCCTACTTGCTGGATTTGAACTTCATAAAAGCCTAGTTACTGCCACAGGAATAACGTAGGTAGGGCTCATTTTACTGACGACTTCTCCCCAAGGAAGGTTGTCATCCTTATTCTCAAAGGCATATGGGATATCACAGTTGTCCACCAAATTCGTGGTCATCATGGAATCACCAAGAGCCATCGAGTAATTTCTGACTCTCAATGTCTGAGTCGGCAATGTTTATTCCTTGATTTTTCCTTTGTTTTGGGCTCAAATGTGGGTGGCTCATCCGCCTGCGTGAAATGTTCTGAGTGACGTGGGCAGTTTCTGGCCTGCCCGACCTCGCTAGAGCCCGATTTCGGGTTCTCTCGATTTCGCTTTGCCGTTTTTAAGTGAAGACAGTCTGACATCGGATCTCTTCGTCCTCTTAGACTCAAATGACCTAAGTGAGGTCAAAAACTAACTACCTTTGCTGTCAATGGTGGACTTTCATACCCCGCCCCTGACATCCTTGCCAGGTTAGCTGATGCATTCCCTGTCTCGTGGGCTGACGGTTGAATCCTGACAAGGGAGTGCAGAGCTACAGACGCGTTCGCAGTCTCGAGGTGCACCATGTCTTCACTCAAACTAGGTGCATGCCATTGTGAGATGACCTGGAGAATCATTCTTTTCGCCAACTCTTTGACCCAAGTTTTTGAGCACCGTGCAATGCTGTCGAATTTCTCAGTTGTTTGTGCACTTCCTTACAGTCTATGGTTTGCCTTTTGATTTCTGTCAACATGCTGATAACGTCTTCTAGTCTGCTAACAACGTATTCCTTCCTGCGTCCAGGACTGCTAGGTTTCGTATGATAAGCTTGCATCATATTCGCGCATGTGTGATGAAGCCGGAAATTATAGGTATCATACTTCATGCCTTGCGGAACAGACCAAATGTGACCACGGGCTCCACGCACACAATACAGCATGAAGTGAAAAGCACCAGTGCCACTCTAGAAGAGCGAAAAAATAAGCCAGACGATAAGGATCTCCGTCAAGCTAGAGACTCAGTTGAGACCTAACCATCTGAGTAAAATCAAAAACCAACACTTAGAGGGCGGACTTTTCGACCTTGAAGCCAGTAAAGGCTATGGACTGCTGAGAAAAAACTTTTTCGTTCTCTTGCGCAAGTCATGTCACACGGTTCTTTGATTGACGGTCAGAGAAGTAGCCCAGTGGCATCAAGTTTTGTAGCTCCAGCCACCCTCTGCACCGTAACGGAGTCACTAATCTACGAGAGCTGACTCTATTATTTGGGGGCAACTAATCTATATGTACTCCAATAGCAGGCATTTGGGTCAAGATATTCATATGTTACTGACATAAGGACCACAATCGATAAGTGGCCAAATGTTACCAACCTTCTGGGTAAAATAACCAAAAATTCCAGTTTTGTAAGACATTTTGCTTCACTGATAAAGAATGGTTGGTTGAAAAGTTCAATGAACCAGAAATTGGATAGCTGTTAATTGGCTACTATGATATTTACTCGTTTGCAGTGTTCGGACGAACTTTGCTGAGTTCGGATAAATGAGATGCTTCTCAAGAGCCCCTTAGCATTTTTCACAAAAGCCTATCCCCTATTGATTCTGTAAAATGCTACGTTTTCACTACCGTGCGACTTACGCCACACATTTAGGCGAAGCTACATAGAAGCTGGGATGCTTGAGTTCAAAAAGGATCTTAAGATCATAGTTCCTTGTAACCTTGGATTGCATATCACGACAAAAATGCACTCCCTGTCGGTCTAGCACTTATGTATGTGAGACTAAGTTTTGGACAGTTCTGTTGTAGATGTTTTCACGAAACCTTTAAAATGTCCACATATACTAATCTTGAATTATGAAAGGTAGTCTTTCACTCTCAGCTTGAAACAATAGGGAGTACATAAATCGCATTCGAGGGTGTTGCACTGAGTCAGCACGAGGACCAAGGTTGATGACACATAGTAGCATATGTTAGCACCCAACTTACGTCCCTTGGTATATAGACGTCTAAGAGTGGGCCTAGCAAGCGCTGGGGTAAGGTTACATTATTTATCTTGTGTGAAAGATTTATAGGTGGAGAGTTAAGCAATAAGTGCAGGGCTTGCTCCTTCATAGTTATTATGACGCGAAATGCTCTTCCCGTAGAGGCTGTGCTGTGCCCTGGTACCTGACTTCTACTTTTATTAGGGGTTCCCGGAACACTATCACTTCTCCTAATATATCACACACTGTTAATCCGCCCCTGTCAGACAGTGCAAATGGCTGAAGATACCGTGAAGTATAAATAAGTGCAACCAAACGGGTGTTATATCAGGCAAACGTCAAATATGTCAGCAAACAGAATATTACATTTATGCTTCAGTCGTTCAAACCATTTAAAAGTAGGTCACCTCGGACAGAGTCGCTTGATATTGGTTTCAGGTGACACTTACGGACCAAATTAATCCTGGGTATGACTTTATTCTCCCTCTCGTGCATCTCCTCTGGAAGAAGACGCTACTGCTGGCCTACTGTTTCCCAGTGCTGAAGCTATATGCTCGAAACCTCCTCAGGTTAAAGGAAGTGAACATGGTATTTCACACTTGTTATAATCACCAACATCCTGACATATTAGCCCAAACCCTCAGTAGGAAACCGACCTTAAAGACTATCTGCGAAGAGTACTGCACGAGACAGCACGTATGAAGATTCATGAGAACTCATGTGTAGTTAGAGTGGGAAAACTGTCGAAATCACTTCCTGAAGTCATTACGGTACCCTTTATTGACGTATTTGGAAGGAGGCTGAACCCACACTGACAGTTTTGTGATACAACTGCACTGTAATCATCAGGCTTTCAGCCGTCTTACAGATCTTCGGTTGCAACACATGTGTAGAGCTGACTTATTAACATTTGATTCTCTCAGCCTTTCCAGTTTTTACGTGAGAAGTAAGAGGCTAAGACTGCAGAGACCAAAAGACATATTTCAGTGTTACAGACACAGAAGTTTAACTTTTCAAAGTTATTCAATTACTGACAAGCAAATATGATTCAAGTTCGAAATCTTGAAGTAGACTGACGTTATGAATTCTTTAGGTAGGTAGACCCCTGCAAAGTTTCTGCTGATCCACGAAAAATGGTTGAAAAACCACTGAAAACTACATGCATGCTAATCATTTTTATCAACTTTTATGATTGAAATTGAATGAAGCTGTCAAGGACAAACCAGCGAACGACCAATAGCGACCAATCAAGTTGGAAACTGCGGTACTTTGGCGGTGAGTAAGACCTAGTGAGTACTTATGCAATTTCACTGAATATACTGGATTTTGAAATTGATATGTTTTAGTAACGGTTATATTCATATTTTGCGAGAATCTTTCTCCTGGTCGTTCCTATATAATCTGTCTGACTGAGACCTAGTTTGTAGACATTTAACAGTGTATGGAGGAAGTCCTCAAAAATTAGAAACAGTTCCCTTTACGAATTTGATAGCGTGATTAGAAGACGAAGTTTATCTAAACAATGTGATGTATTTGCGTAATACATTTCGAGCAATCTGATCACATATTTATTTGTCAAGTCAATGTATATTAAACCTATGAGTGGGGAGACAAATACAACAATTAGCACAATAGGGGATCAAAATTAAGAAAGATGAAAACAAACAGGAAGTGACCTAGTTGATCCTAATCTTGGCAAAAAAAAACAAAGTTTATCAAAGTAGATGTAGTGTAATAACAAATTGTTTTTGTGCACATAAAGGTGGTTTAAATTTGTGTATGGCTATGACTTTCGCAAATCACAGTATATGTCCCTGACTGTTTCTATATAAAACTTTGACAGCTGTTTGAACATTAACTTTGTGACCTGTTTCTATGATATGTTTAGCTATAGAAGAAGAGGGTCGTCTCCCACCAGGGTTTATCACTGTCTCATACTCCATTTGTTTTTGAAGCCATTTAGGCACATGTTCTAACACCCTCAGCTGCATGACTTGATTACTCCTCCCTATGTATGTGTGTGACTACACACACATGTAAATTAATGAACACAATGGTTGGTAACGTAATCATTGATGAAATGTTTAGGTTTTTGGTGAAGTATGTGTTTTGTGTTTTCCACAATGATGAGATTCGCCGCGTAATATGTTTTCTTAACCGCTGATGTCAGCCTATGTCTCAAAATGATACTATTCAACTCCCCTCTGTATGGTAGAGTGAAATGGACGCTTCCCTTAGGGACCGTGTATAGAGTTGGCTTTGGTGCTACTTGACCTCTACAACGGTTTATAAACTTCATCGGATATCCATTTTCCATAAATGCTTTGATCAGTAATTTGATGTCTTCATCCATCGTATCTGGTGTACTGATACGACAGATCCTGTTAAACAGACATTTTATTAGACCTCGCTTGTATTGGATTGGACAAAAACTGTGAAAATCCAGGTATTGTCCTGTCCATGTAGGCTTTCTGTAAACTGACCATCTTATTGAACCATCTCGTCTACTCAGGGGTATATCTAAGAATGGCAGTTGGTTATTATTGTCTTTTTCACAAATCAGGCTGATATGAGTTTGCATGGCGTTAAGTTTATCAAGCAGACACCTTCACATTTGATGGTGAACGCTTTCGACAAGTCGTCGGTGTAGCTATGGGTAGTCCCTTAGGACCACTACTAGGTGATATGTCAGATATCGGGAATCTGGCTGGTGGTCTCATTTCATTTCATCCTCTTTACAAGAGATATGTTGATAACAACATAGCGATTTGTTAGAGGCATGAGGATATGGCTTGTCAACCAAATAAACTTAACGTGGGTGTGTAATTAAAGACTACGAATAGGCATCGCCTGTGCTCATGACCCTTCCTAGTTTACACAAATCCATTTAGTTGAACAGCATACAGATAGTTGTTGACTAGTATCCAGCTGAAGAGCATTTTCTTCTCAACAAATGAATGTTATGCCTACACCACCGAGTACATGAGAGCTAGCCACCAAATCTCCAGATACCCGTAAAGTGAGTTTCAGTTAGTGAAACTATCACTGAAAAGAATGAAACCCTGATAGCTTCTCAAAAGAGATGGCTAGAACTACAAGTGGGACACTTTAAAGTCTATTTCAACTGGCCCATAGTCATGCTTTAGTTGCCTAGCTTCCAGCTTGAACTTGAATGGGACGTAGATATCGGTCCATCAACTTATCGAAGTTTTGAACCTGAGACAATGCAAAGCAGCAGGACTTGACAGTTTGCCACTTGATATCTTTAGTGATAGATGTTGGGAAATTACTGATTACATTTACAGAGGTCATGAGTAGTGTATGGGAATCAGAGGTAGTGCCGTCAAACTGGTCTATTTCATCGATCAGTCCAACCTATAAGAAGGGCGAAAAGTCTTGTGACAACCATAGAAGAATCAGTTTTACTGATATCGTGTGTGAGATCCTTAGGTTCGAGGTCAAAAAAATTAAGAAAATCAGACAAGTTTCAGATGGAGCTGGGCGAGGGCGCTTGGATCAGATTTTCATCTTTCAGAGGGAGGCTAGAAAGATTTCGATAGAACTCATCCTTAATATAGGTGTGGAACTTCGGCACTGTGGTAAGATTTAATTCCATATAAGGTTTGTTTATTTTATTTATAACACACAGTGATCTAGTATTATTTACTTGATGATGTTTCGAGCATAAATTATTACTGCTCATAATCATATCTATGTAATCACACCACTTTCGACATTTGGTTTTTATAGTTATGTCACTTTATATGAGTTGTTTTTATTGGTATCAAAATTCTCCATATCTCTGGTATAGGTGTTGCGTCATCTCTGTTACATGTGTTAACTGTTGATTCTATGAACAAAGATTTAGTAATCGAACCCTCTCTTCACCTAATTATATTGGACCTAAGTACAGTGGCTTTATCCGACCCTATCGTGTGGTTGTGTGTTAATGCATGCATAGCAATATCCGAGTTTTTTTTCTAGATTATTGATCTTATTTAGGTTTGTTATTCTATATTTAGATAAATTCCTATGTTCGGCTATTCTAACTGACCCCGACCGACTAGTTTAACTTATGTACTTGATCTCACAGTCATTACTTGATATTTGATAGATTAGATTATTTTGCTTGATTGGTTCTATCGGATGTTTAAGCCGACAAAGTTCATCTCAGAGTGAGTTTGTAGGTTTAAATGCCACCATAACTAGTTCCAGCTCTGTTGAGGATTCTGCGTAAGGTTTCTGAGGTACCCTCCTTATTGGGTAATACAATGGAGGCTGTGAACTCCTTTTTACTCATGTCGTTATTAGTCGCACTCGTGTAACTGTTATTTTTATCGTTTTTTGTGTGTCTGTAAGAATTTCTTAATGAACTGCGGAGGATAATTACTAACTATTAGCGCTTCTTTTACGTGTTTCAATTCCTTGTTTAGGTTCTTGCTCTGACTAGTCAGTTTTATAGCTCTATCATTCAGACATTTGATTAATCCTGCCTTAACTAACATTGGATGGGATGATTTGAAGTCTAGATACCTATTGGAATGTGTTGGTGGAGACAGTAGTATTCAAGCTACCGTCTGTTCGTTTTATTCTGCAATCCAACATAGGTAATTCTTCTTGTTCATTTTCTACCTCGTAAGTGAATTGGATTGCGTTTACTACTGAGCTACAGTCAGTGGGCGGGTAAGCAGAGATTACAAAGGAACAACGGCGAGTTTCATTATTTTTCATTTTCATTGTGCTGTTCAGTCAAGCAGCGCACAGATGATTGTCAGCTGGGATGCAGTCAAGCAGTTCATTTTTCGCCTTATAGCTGACTCCGACACCCACACCTACAAGACCATGAGAACTAGCCAATTAATTTTCAGGGACTTAAAGGATGCATTTTGATAATTCACTGTATTAACCAGGTGAGGTTAAGTAAAGAACCGCACTTGAGTCACGTAATCGTGTCTCACAAGCACATCAGATGTCCTTAACTCGTGACACCGCAGTCTTGGCTGAGAAATCTTGTTGTCCGACTTGGTGGAGAGTGCGAAAGTTGAATGCTTTGGAGCAGGGCTTCGGGGCCATGAATACTGTCTTGTTAACTCAAATAGTTGCCAAGGGTTGTAAGGGAGAAAGACATCACAGTTGACGTCGTATTATTAACAGTGAGATGCTAGAAAAATAGAAGGCAAGATGTGAAAGGTTGTTAATGATCTGAGGGAACTTGAGTGCTGACAGTTATGAGGGCGACTGACACTTTCCGACTGCCCACACTGTGAAAGGTTGCTTCTTGAAGCACGTGGGAAAAAATCGTACCAATAATAGTGGTGCGTGGTCGCAGACCTCAAGGTATATCTGCTTGAGGATGATCATGTTTGGCTTCTTTAGTTTAAGGTTCAACTTTGTGTGAAATCCAGGTAAGAGGCCCACACCATTATCATTGGAATATCAGGGGGCAACGAGAGTGTTCTATTCTTGGGGCTAATCTTTCCTAACTCCCCCTTCTTATATAAAGGCAGCATCAGCATAAACTACTAGCAATTTGCAGGAAACACTGCTGCTGTCACTCCTCCGTCCAACCGGGAATACGACTTCACCCTCGAATCTCCGTCATCGCATATTAATTTACAATTAAACGGCAACTGATTTTTGTCTAACCAACAGATGTTTTGGTATGTTAGGACCTCGGGGGTGCAAGCGCTCCACCAGCATAGCTCCTTGAGCCATTGTGATATCCAAGCCCGACCATCTCATTGAGGCAGTAGCTATCGATCGGGAAGTTAGAGTAACCATAGTATCCATAAATAATAGATTCTTAGTTGATAAACTAATTTTATGTGTGAAAACCTACTACTTTTTTTACTGAGATGTTGACTGTGAAATCCTTTGGACACTAACAGTATTTAAAGCAGAATATTGTTGTTAGCTCAATTTATGATGAACCAAATTCTGGTACTGGTTGTATTAGATGAGAGATGCAAAATAAACGTAGAGTTTTTCACAGAAGTACATTGGTTCAAGTTTCCATATTAGATTCATTTATATTGTTGTTTCCTTCTGAGTCACCAATTAGAAATAATGTATACTAGTCAGTTTTATGCGATTGGAAAGTATTCTATACGATACATATGAATCTATAGCCATGACTAGAAAATTTTGCTGATTTGATAGTTAAAAACTTGCCCATGTCTCTTACATTAATCCTTACTGTTGGCGTAGAATTATTCACAAATGTGTCTTTCAGAATTAGTTAAGACAGCTAGCTACGGGATATGCTGGAGTGTAGAAACACGTATTGTTA